TCTCAGGGATACACATTAGAAATATTTGTTCTGCGGGTGTATCCGACCAAACCACCCAGATTTAGACTCCGGAATGCGAGGACGGGAACCTAGGGGAGGCCACGTCTTCATCGCGTTATTGGGGTCAGGCGTTCTTCTGTTCTCGATGACTCCTAGCTCCCCTCCACCGCCTCCTCCTGTGGTGAGCAGCGTAGCATGACGCTGGCGCAGACTCGAACCGATCCTGTTTCCTAAGATGGGCAGGCCAAGAGCGATGACAATCTCAGGGCTGTGCCCTCAAACGCTGAGGGGGTCCTCAAGATCGGCATCGAGGCACGGCGGCGCCAAACGCAGGGACAGGGACATGCTTCAAACTGGTAGCGGCTTCAAACTGGCAACGGCTGCAAAGCCGGCGGGTCGCGCCAGCACGAGTCGGCGGCCAGCCTGGGGGATAAGTGAGAAGGGGCGGGCCTTCTCAGAAGGCTCGGAAATCCCCCGGCCTTCTGAGAGGTCGGCCAAGCCTTCCCAGAAGACACGGAAAACGTTTCTCAGAAGGCGCGAGGGCTTCTGAGAAGCCCCGCCGCCTTCTGAGGAGGCCTTCTCCTCCTCGCCTTCCTCCCCCCCCTCGCCCGCCGCCGAACGAGGGCGGGTGGAATCAGGGTGGGACGGCCGCGGAAGTTGGCCTCCGCGCCCTTCGCCACCTCGCCCTAGCGCCCCCGCCCCCCCCCTCTCCTGACAGGCGATCCGCAGGCGGCTCTCGGGGAGGTGCCGGTCGGGAAGGTGCCGGTCGGGAAGGTGCCACTTTGCGCAAGTGCGGCCGCGCCTCCGCTGCAGTGCAAGGTCCGCAGTATAGTATAGTGGCCGATATTTCCGCCTGTCGCGCGGAAGGCCCGGGCTCCATTCCCGCGGGTGAGGGGCAACGATAAGGGGGGGATGGGCATAGGGGGGGATGCATCGACCTGGAATCGGCGATACATCGTCGATAGATCGGCGATAGGCCCCCGATGGTGAATCCGCACCTTCCTGGGAGGGGTGGGGCCATTGGGCCCCTATCGGCGATCAACGGGCGATGGGGGGTCGATGCATCACCCCTGTGCCCAGCCCCCCCTAGCGTTGCCCCCGAGCGGGTGGATGGGGGGCAAGCGGGCCCAGGCCGCCGAGGATCCGACGGAGGCTGGGCGCGCGCAGGCGGGCCCAGGCACCGCAGAGCGGTGCACAGACAGGCGAGGCGCGTGCAGACGTTCGGGGGCGAGCGAGGGGGGGGGGAAGGTGAGGAGAAAGCCCTCTCAGAAGGCGGCGGGGCTTCTCAGAAGCCCGCGCGCCCTCCCAGAGGCTTTTTCCGTGTCTTCTGGGAAGGCTTGGCCGACCTCTCAGAAGGCCGGGGGACTTCCGAGCCTTCTGAGAAGGCCCGCCCCTTCTCACTTATCCCCCAGGCTGGCCGCCGACTCGCGCGCCGCCGATTCTGGGCCGACCGCAGGCCAGGGGAGCTCATATTCTCCTTGGTAAGCAGCAAGAGTACCCCTAACCTTTTGGGAGGGGACCTAAATTAGGAGGGCCCCCCCCCTCGCTCGCCGCCAAGGCTTGGGCCCCTAACCTTTTGCGAGGGGACCTGAGTTCGGAGGGCCCCCCCCTCGCTCGCCGCCAAGGCGTGGGCACACGATGGCACGGATGGCGGAGCCGTGGATCTGGCGCGAGGGCGCCGCCCGCTCTGGCGGCGGAGCGCGCCGAGCTCAGGCGGAAGCGGAGCCCGTCGCCGATCCGCTCTGCCTCGGCCGCCGGCCCGCAACGAGAGGCCGCGTCTCCAAGACGACGGGGGGGGGTTCTGACTGATAGCTGCACGGGGCAGGAGGGGCGAAGTCCAGACGGAATGAGCCCAAACGGAGGCCGAGCACTCCGTGAGGACTCACTCCGCACGGACTTTAGCATCAGATCAGGAGAGGTCGAGTCCAGACGGACTTGAGCATCCTGTCAAGAGAGGCTCAGTCCAGACGGAGTAAGCCCCGACGGAGGCCGAGCACTCCGTGAGGACTCACTCCGCACAGACTTCAGCATCAGATCAGGACAGGTTTTAACTCCTTACGGACACGAGCATCCTGTCAGGGGAGGCTCAGTCCAGACGGAGTGAGCCCAGACGGAGGTTGAGCCCTCCGCACGGACTTGCTCCGCACGGGCTGAAGACTTAGCGCACTCTCCGAACAAGCAGGGCCCACGCGCCTGGCAGGCATGAGCTGAATCGAATCGAGAGATCGGATCGGACCGGAAACGGGTCGGATCGCCAGCGCATCGTCCCGGATCGTATCGAAATCGGATCGCCGCGCCAGGCTCCGGCTGGCACCAGCCGATGCTGGCGAACGGGCCGAATCGAATCGAATCAGAATCGCGGCCCCAGCCAGCGAATCGAACCGCATCGCATCGAATCGTAGGCGGCTTTGCCTGGGCGCCGGGTCCCAGCCCGCCACAGGGAAGAGGCGGGCGCGGCCTCGTTGGTGGAAAACTCACCAGCCTCCTTCTCGCGGATGACCTCGGCACCGCGCGCAGCAGCAGCTGCATGCAAGCTTGCAGAACGTACGCTGCAACTTCGTGCCAGCGCACAAATGAAATCCGCACGTCCTTACGTTCTCCCCCGAACCTCCTTCATGCTATCTTCCTTCTCCCTGCCTCTACCTCCTCCTGCTTTCCTTGTGCTGTCCTGCTCTGTGCGGCAGCAGCTGGGCCAGCTGGGAGAACGCTGCGTCGCGCGACGCCAGGAGCAAAAGAGAACCAGGATCAGAACAACGTCGGCGACGACGAACTGCATTGACGCCCGAGATGCTTATCTGTCTCGTGTGTACGGAGACGGCGCAAGGCAACGCACCTCACGGGCCAGACCACCCCCCAGGGAAGACGGGGGAGATACGGACGACATGCGTAATGATTCAAGCCAGCTCAGGCGACGCGCATGTAGTCTATGACATCTGAAAAAATCATCAGCCCGTGGACCCCAAACAGTCAGACAGGAGCGAGCCCTATCTCTGAAACCATGTACGTGGAACTCCTGGTGTGTGAATGCACGTGGGCGGAACACCGTGTGGAACCATACGCGTGGGAATTTTGGAGTGTGGGTGGAATTCCGTGCGTGCGGAAACATTTGCGCGCGGAACCCTCTGTGGGCGAAAAACATCTGAGCGTGGAGCCATATGCGTGAAGCCATATGTCGATGTGGACTAGTGTGGAACCCTGTGTGAGGAATTCTATGCATGAGCGGATTGCTGTGTGCGAGTGCACGTGCGTGTGCAACCGTGTTCATGTAGATCCAGATGTGTGGAGCCAGTTGCATGTGTGGAATCCTATGCGCGTGAGGAACTTTACGGCACAATGTGGAACCCTTTGTGTGTGGAACACTGTGTGTGTGTGGGGAACCCAATGGGTGTGGAAAGTCATATGTGTATGGGGAAGGGGGAACACCGCGTGAAGGCCTTGTATATGTGCTTCTCTCCACCCCTTCTCTTGCTCTGTCAGTCCCTCGTCCTCCTCGCCGGCCCTGCCCTGCACCGCCTGGTCTTTCGACCCCAGGCCGCAGCTGCGAGCATCTGGGAGTACTGCTTTGACACGCGCTTCACAAGAAAGATACAGTCAACCGGCCTAGTGACGAGGATCGACTTCCCAAGGGTATCCTTGCATCCTTGCCTCTTCGGTCATCGTCGGTCCATCCTCAACCACTTTCGATGGCCAGCCCCGCCCGACGAGCCTCGGCATGGGTGTCCAAGGCCTTTGCATCCTTACCGCGCATTCTTACTCGTTGGGTTGATAAGGGAAAAGTGCAGGTGCGTGCGGAAAGAACTCTACGTGTGTGGAAGGCAGGAGACCGCTCCGCCAGCCAACAGCTTCGCTAGAGGACCGTTCCGCTGGCGGGCCGGCATCCAGGCAGACCCCAACGGGCAGATCGGGCGGGCGCCGGGCCCTTACGAGCGGGTCGGGCCGATCAGGCCGGCGGGGCATCAGAACGGGCGGGCGGACGACGAGCTCGGGCTCCTCGTTGCCCCCCTCCTCGTTGCCCCCCTCCTCGTCGTCGTCGTCCTCCTCGCCGTCCCCGTTCCGTTGTCCTCGGGATTGCGAGCAAACGGGCGGACGACTAACGGGCGGCTGTCTCGGGCAGAGGACGAGGCGTTCAGGGCGGAGCGGTCCGAGGGCCAAGCGCGGTGTCTGCTGGCGAAGGCGCGGCGCGGCGGGCGGAGTAGACCGCGGGCGGAGCGGTGCGCGGGCGGAGCGGGGCGCGGGCGGAGCCGTGCACGGGCGACTTCGCAGTCGTGAGGGACCCGGTATCTCGTCCTGCTCCTCCTCCTCCTCCTCCTCCTCCTCCTCCTCCTCCTCCTCCCCCTCCCCCTCCCCCTCCACCTTCTTATTATCACAGTTATTATACATCGTCTTATTAGTTTTATGATTCGTATTCTGCCTCATTCCTCTTATGATTATGATGACACTTATGATTATAATGATTACTATTAGTAGTGTCAGCATTGTTGTTATTAGTATTGGAAGTATTTGTACTAGTAGCAGGCGTAGTGGTAGCCGTAGTAGTAGTTCGATTATTAGTATTAGCCTTAGTATTGTGAGTGTTTCCTTAGTGCTGTTATCAATAGTACGGTTGCGATTACTATCATTATTGCTATAGTTTCGGCTATTATTCGCATTAGGATTCTTAGTAGTAGTAGTAGTAGTAGTAATAGTAGTAGTAGTAGTTATATTATTAGTCTTATAAACATGCTTCTTATATGTAGCGTGATTACTAATATTAGTCTTCTTACTTCCAGTATCAGTATTATTAGCGTGGCTAATTTTATTGTTCTTACTACAAATAATACTATTATGAGTTACCCTACTCTTTTGATTATGATGAATAATAGTAGTAGTAGTAGTAGTAGTAGTAGTAGTAGTAGTACGATGCTTCTTCTTATTCAACCGTATTACGACGACTACGACTATTGAAACAAACAATATGATTAGGAGTGTTGTGCTTAGTATTATGATTACGATCCTTCTTTGTATTATTAAGATTGTGTTTCGTGCTCTTGGTGTTTACCATTAGTAATAGTAGTCATATTCGTGTTCTTCTTCTGCTTCGCATTATGATCCTGAATACTCAGAATATTCCTACCATTCGTACTAGTACTCTGATTAGTTGCAATTTTGCCAATAGTCGTCTCCTTCTGATTATTACGATCTGTATGATTAATATGTGTCGCAGTATTATGTTGATTACTCGCCTTACTATTATTGTGCGTATGTGTATGATTATTCCTCGCATTATTCTCAATAATTTTACCCATAAGACTACACATATCAGTTTAAAATACTATAGGTGGCAATAGTGTCTGGGCTATGCTGAGTACATCTCTGATTGTTAATCGAAGGTGAGGGGGTGAGATCGAAGTGGAACTGAGAGCCCCCCTACCGGGAAATCGGTTTCGGCTTCGTGTTCGTGCGTGCCGTGCGTGCGGGCGAGGCGAAGTTGCGTGGGTGGGCGAGAAGAAAGTCTCCTCTGGCTGAGGCGCGGCCGGACCAAATGATTCCTTTCCGGGGGCCGGTGGCCCGCGGTGTCCCGCCGGTGTCCCGACGGTGTCCCATCGGTGTCCCGATTATGGTGATGATGTCCATGATGTTGGTGATGATGATGCTGATGGTGATGGTGGTGATGATGATGGTGTCCCGATGATGATGATGATGATGATGATGATGATGATGATGATGATGCTGATGATGTTGACGATGTTGATGATGATGGTGCTGATGATGATGGTGATGGTGGTGATGACGATGGTGTCCCGATGATGATGATGATGATGATGATGATGATGCTGATGATGATGATGATGCTGATGATGTTGATGATGGTGTCCCGATGATGATGCCCACGATGATGTTGATGGTCCTGATGATGTTGATGATGAGATGATGATGAGATGGTGATGATGGGGATGATGATGATGATGATGATGATGATGATGATGATGATGATGATGATGGTGTCCCGATGATGAAAATGAGGTTATGATGATGCTTTCTGATGATGATGGTGACGATGATGATGGTGTCCCGATGATGATGATGCTGTTGATGATGATGACGATGATGGTGTCCCGATGATGATGATGATATTGATGATGAGGATGAGGATGAGGTGAAGATGAGGTGATGATGGTGATTTTGATTATGGTGGCCCGATGGTGGTGATGATGATGATGCTGATAACTGATGATGATGATGGTGTCCCGATGATGATGATGTTGACGATGATGATGGTGATGATGCTGATGGTGACGATGATGATGGTGTCCCGATGATGATGATGTTGATGATGATGATGTTGCTGATGATGATGTCCCGATGATGATGATGATGTTGTTGTTGATGCTGTTGTTCATGATGGCTATGATGAGATGATGATGGTGATGATGGTGTTCCGATGATGATGATGATGGTGTCCCGATGATGATGATGTTGATGATGATGATGATGGTGACGATGGTGGTGTCCCGATGATGATGATGGTGATGATGATGATGATGTTGATGATGATGGTGATGAGGTGATGATGATGATGGTGTCCCGATGATGATGATGATGATGATGATGATGATGATGATGATGATGATGATGATGATGATGATGATGATGATGATGATGATGTTGATGACGTTGATGACGCTGATGTTGATGATGATGACGTGGATTGTGAGATCGATTGTGATATCGATAGTGAGATCGATAGTGAGACCGAATGTGAGATCGATTGTGAGATCGATAGTGAGATCGATAGTGAGATTGATAGTCAGATCGATTGTGAGATCGATCGAATGAAATAGATCGAGTGAGATCGATTGTGAGATCAATCGAGTGAGATCGATCGAGCGAGACCGATAGTGAGATCGATAGTGAGACCGATCGAGTGAGACGTTGGTTCCTCCCCCCCGAACCTCCTTATCACCCGAAGGGTGGTCGTATAGGTATTATTGATGTTCCATCTCCTCCTCCTCATCCTCCGAATCTTCCTCCTCCTCCATATCATCCTCCTCCTCATCCTCCTCTGTCTCCTCCTCCTCCTCCTCCTCCTCCTCCTCTTCCTCCTCCTCCTCCACCTCCTCCTCCTCCTCCTCCACCTCCTCCTCCTCCTCCTCCTCCTCCTCCTCCTCCTCCTCCTCCTCCTCCTCCTCCTCCTCGTCCTCCTCCTCCTCCGCTGGCGTGTGTCAGCGCGGACCATTGGGGCGCTGGCACAGGTGTGCAGGCAGAGTGCGGCTGCGACTGACAGGCATCACCCACAGACACACCGCCCGAGAGCCCGTGCGTGGCGACGTCATCAGCCACAGGGCGTGGCGACGTCATCAGCCACAGGGCTGGGACCAGCTCGCAAAGGCCGAGCAGTGGCAGTCACCCATGGCGCTACCCAGGGGCAAGAAGCAGGAGCAGCAGGGACTCATCAGCTCCATCGCGGAGAGCGGCTCGTGCGAGATACCAGGCGAGCAGGGACCAGTCACGATCAGCAGC